TCAGCCCCCAGCTGTCGATGTGTCGTGGTCCCCCCGCCCGAAACTGCATGGGGTCAGAGTACGGGGCCATAAAAGTCAATTCAACGCATTCTATTCCTATGCTCCGAATGTGCGAAATGGGCTAAATTACCTCCAATCTGTGTTTCCATGATTCATCTGGCTCGAGAATGTACGACTCGACTGTTCTCCGTCGTGCTTCTTCCTTGAAAACGAGAAATCGATCTCTAGCTCAGAGGGAACAGAGTTCCCAGAGGATCAGTGGTGTTTAATGAAATTCCAAAAGTTAGCACACCTTAGCGATCCTGGCCTTTTTCATCTCTTCCACATCCAAGCCCTTAGCACGCCATCGAGCATAACATCGTTGTCGTCGGATTTCCTTCTTCTTCTGCACGGGATTATCTGACTTGTCCACAACCTTCCTCGATGAGGACTTGAAATCACCGGACTCTTTTATCCGCGGAGCTGTCTTTGATGAAGAGTTCTAAAGTGAGCATGATCGACTCGTAGCCAAAGAAATAAATAGCAATGCTGACACAAAATGCTTACTGTCATCTCAAGTGGTGTTTCCTCTCGTATGTGACTCCTGGGCTTCGTGTCATTCTTCAAGTATTCATTCATTTGTCGGAGGACACGCCGCTGACTTCGCGACAACACGAATTTCGTCGAATCGAGCCTTAACCAAAACAGTTGTGAAGATCGGCGGGTCGAAAAGGGCACCGCGCAAGGCAACTGAGCTCCCTTTTCTTCCCCTGCTCTGCTTTACTTTTCCTTCCCCGTCGAGATGATGGGTCGCACATTCAAAATAATTTTTAGCATCTTAAGTCCACGCATGAAGCAGACAAGCGATATTCGCTTTCGCTGAGCTATTTAGACAATACGCAAAAGGGCTAAGCAAATGGCCGATCTTTTGACACCAAGTTTACACAATTCCGCGCGCTACCATTTTATCGCACTTCCTCTGTTCCGTAGAGCTAGCCGTTTTTAGTTGCATATGAGGCGAGTGTGTCGTGGAGTGGCACGGCTTGACCATGGGCGGGGGTCCGGAAGGAGAAATCCCGGGTCGGCTCCCGTCTAGAACAACCGAGCCTTCTACCCTCCGAGGACGGTGAATTGGCACCATGTTCGTCTGGGAGTATGAAAGCACTGCTCTGTACATCGCCCGGCTCCCGCAAGCCTTTGTATGTAGCCCACATAGCATTCAACAAACCACTAAATTCCAAATGGACGTAGAATGCACGCCAGAAGTTCCACAAGAGACTGCTTAGTATTTTCACCCCCTCAAGCCGCTCGGCGAGAATGAACCACCTTTTTTCTGCTCCCAGCATGGACCCACTCAAAAAAACAGAGATCTGAATGAGCGCGGCCGTGTCTCCGAATTCAGAGAAACGGACAGAGTCGCGTCGCTGCGCGGTCGCTCTCAACTATGCTCCAAAAACTTGTTTCGGACATTTAAAAAAAGAACACCCACCTAATCGTGTACTGAGGACAACAGGTTTGATTCATCGTTGGCTTGTAGATGTATTTACCCGACCTGCAAATGATAAACTTCATTAGAACCGTATGAAAGCCATTAGTTTCATATAGCATGCCACAATGTCAGGGCAGACAACTACGTGTTATTTGTAAGTGTCTGTTTTTTGAATTAAATTCGATCGCTGCCCCAAGCAGTGCTGCAAACTAACTTCGTAGACAGAGATAGACAAGTAACCTTCGCCATCCTCTGTCCAGAAATCTTTGATAGTTCCTGCAGCTGAGCCTTACTGCCCAGATTCCTGCAATGGATTCTTTTGATTTCAAATGAGCTTTCCTTATTCAAATAAGCGCTTATTATTTTCTTCATGGGTATCTTCGAAATCTTACTTGGCACTACTCACCCTTCACAACCCCGATCTTGCGAAAACAGTCCAATTTTTTTTACTTTTTTCACCTTTTCTCTCCATGGGTACATTCAGCTAAAAACTTGTCCTCAGAGGAAGCTTGACCTGAAACCGCATGGCGCCCGCGTCAAAATAGCCTAGACCACCGAACTGACTGAAAATTCGTCTCCAGGGGAAGTTGGAAATCCTGAACACGAATATCACATTCGTTTGGAAAAATCGCTAACCCGCGTCGTCGCCCGCGCTACATTCGACGGCTCCATATGCCTGTTTTGATCAAGATGCGTATAGCGCGGACTCCTGGCAATTTCGTCCCCAGCCAGCCAAGTGTGCTAGCGCAGCAAGAAAAACACAGTCAGACAAGACACCTTTTCTGGTTGCCTGCGATAATTGCCAGCAATGAAAATAATTCTCTCTAAGTAAGGCCATAGCAAAGGAAAGAATCACTATATCGGGAGAACGATGCAAACAAACGCATTAGTCTACGCTGTCACGTGTACTCCTTTTGCTCCATCCTTACCTTCATAAGCACCCCATGCAGGTGTGACACTCGGGGTCAAACTACCACCGGGGACAATTTCAGCCAACTCGGTGATTCAGGGTTATTTGGCGCAGGCGCCTGTGGTGCGGGCGCCAGGAGGTTTTCGGCCAAGCGGATGTGATACTCTTGTTCAGGAAGTCAAACCACCCCGGGAACGAGTTTTCAGCCAAATCCCCCATCGTATAAAAAATTCGATAAAAATTTTCTCAGATAAGATAAACTGGTCTGATTTCGGAAGACTGGGGCAGTAGAAGGGAACAGTGCCCTTATTCGTCTATGAAGATCAAAGTAGGAGTGAGGCGGGATGGGCACCGTACGTAATTATGTGGAAGGATAACTTCTGGGATGGCAGGGTTGACTGCGCGCAGTGTTAGAGCAGCGGAAGCGACTGGCCTGTTTAAATGTACTATCGTATGTATTGTTTTCCGAGATATCAAAATGCACTGGCACAAAA